CAAAGCCGGCCTGGTCACCCAAGGCACCGGCAACGTTCAACTCACATCTGACTGCGCCCCCGCTAACGGGACACGTGCTTTGCTCAGGGTGCCTCTCTCCTTCCCCCCCGCATCTGCACGCTTCTGCGTCCTCTTCTTCCTCGCTCCTGCCTCCCACGTCCCGCCACTTCTTCTTCTTTCTTCTGCAGCAGCTCCTGAAACGTCAGCGGGGACACCGTCAGACCTGCGGAGCGGCAAGCCCCCATCCCTCCCCCCCCACCCGAAGGAAAAGGTAAACCCAACATCGCAAAGGAACTCGGCACGCGACCACCCAGCCAAGGAAGGCCTTGCATCCCCCCTCCCCAACCCATTCCAGCAAAAACTCCTTGGAGCAGCTTTTCTCACCTCACGGCGCACTTCCAGCCGGTGCTGCAGGGGGATCACAGAGGCGGGCAGACTGGGCTAATTTATCTGTTGATACAATTAGCAGCAACCAAAGATTCAGGTGCCCTGCTTATAGCAGATGCCAGCCACTCCCTTCATTAGAAAGACAATAGCCCTCTTTGTGGTCATTGTTCTGCATAATGTCAACTAGTGTGCCATCTTGGCACTTGGAAATTGTCTATGTAGCACTTCTGATAGAGAGGTTCTTTTTTTGAGATTCCGTCTCCTATAAATTCATGTCATTTCTCATTCTCCAGTTGATAGCAGTAAACTAGCGTGAAGTTGTAAGTATTCCAACTTGTAGCATCTACTGCCATGGATTGCCTTGAAGTAGAATACAAACCTTGACACTGAAGCCTAAATTTTCTCTGAGCATCCACCCTTTACTTCCTATACTGCTTCTTTAACACATTTATTTTCTCAAACACTACAACGCTACTTTACTTCTTCCCCCCTTTCATCAGCATTACAGCTCTCATGTTTTCCCCCATCCCTACCACTCTGTTCGTGCGATTTGAAAAATAACCGTGTGGTTCAACACTGCGATAGCAGTTACTATTGCTTTATTTTTGCTGCTCACTGTCGCCTCGGAGCGTCTTCCTCCACGCGTCAACTTGCCGCGCTAGTCGCGCCTCTGCCCCTCCTCTCGGAGCGCGCTCAGAGGTCCTGCTCTCGGAGCCCAACAGGCGGCTCCAGCCCCGGCTCCGTCCACCCGCCCGCCATCGGCGCCCGCGCGGCGGCCCCAGCTTCGGCCGCCATTCGTCGGAGCCCGCGCGGCAGCAGCGGCGGCGGCCCCAACCCACGTCAATCCGGCCCCCGCCCCGCCGTACCCCTCCACCGGCCCCGCTACGCCTCGCCCCGGATCCGCCACACCCCGGCCCCGCTACGCCTCGCCCCGGATCCGCCACACCCCGGCCCCGCTACGCCTCGCCCCGGATCCGCCACACCCCGGCCCCGCTACGCCTCGCCCCGGCCCCGCCACAGCCCAGCCCCGCTACGCCTCGCCCCGGCCCCGCCACAGCCCGGCCCCGCTACGCCTCGCCCCGGCCCGGATCCGCCACAGCCCGGCCCGGATCCGCCACAGCCCGGCCCGGATCCGCCACAGCCCGGCCCCACCGCACCTCGGCTCTAGAGAACGCCTGCCGTCGCCTATTCCCTCACAGCGCGCCGCGCCGCGCCGCGCCCCCCACTTCTTCTCACACACTGTGGAAAACGCCTCGCTCACCTGCCCGCGCGCGCACCTTTTATACCTGCCTGCAGCGCGCCAGCCAATAGGAGCCCTGAACGCCGCTGCCGCTTCCCGCGCTTTTCTTCCCGCCGCTTTCTCTCCATCCCCCTCAGCGTTCCCGCCCTTTCTTCCTACGGGAGGCCGGGCTGGGGTCACCCGTCGGTCACGGCCCAGCTCACAGCTGCTGCCGTCCCTTCCCTCAGTGCAGAGCCGCCCCACAGGTGATCTCACCTCACAGCCCCAGAACCTGGCAGAGCTGGCTGTGGGGAACTTATTCTTTTTGGTTTCTTTTAATAGTCATATACGTATTAGGTGTTCCTTCCTGAGCAGTAGATGTCCACAAACATAATTAATATATTTATATTAATATTTTTTTAAAAGGAATTCTTCACAGGACACCTCCCGCCTCTACAGCAAAACTCCCCTCTGAGCTCAGAAATATCATTACCAAGGGAAAAGGGTGAAACAAGCTACAGGTGATGTATGAAGGATATCATTTATTTGTCAGCTCAGGATGCTCTTGTTTTGTAGAGCTGCTTCTATTTTACAACTCATTTACACACCGTGCTTGGAATTACTCACCTAATTGCTATGCACTGCAGTGTGTTTGCTCACTTCATTTCCTTCTGCCCTCAGCTACGTTCTCACTGTAGCAATGGTACAAAATATGGAAGAGACAAAATGGTGGATACAGAATAAATGCTGCTCCCACCACTGCCGAGATGGGATGTAGCAGCAATGACTCAGCTGCGAGTAAGAGGTCTCCTCCAGGGAATCTTCTCCTGGCATGTAACCCAGGCTAATGGAATACCCTGAAGGAGAAAGGCACCCAGGACCTGAGGAAACTGGCTGTGATACAGACAGTGTATAGCACCAGTGTCCAACCTGTTGGTTTGCCTAGGCTGCACTGAGTGAAGACAAATTGTCCCGGGCCACGTATGCTTGCTCCAAAAGTAATGCCTCCTATTTATTTTCATGGAAACTACAACAGGTAAAATGAGCACGGTAATTCTGTTTGATAGAGCAAATCCTCAGCTGCAATCACTGTTCTCCAACATAGCCACCACTGTTAGCTATGCATTTTTGCCTGCAATAAACATGAGACTGCGTGCTGAGCTCATCAAAATCTGTGTCAGCACAGGTGACCCGCAATCGCTGACACCACTGCTGAGTGCACTGCACACTGCCCCTCTATGCTCACACCCACAAGCATTCAGCAAGCACCTAGTGGGTGCCACTTTCTCCACACTGAGGAATTCAGTGACACACCTTTGCTTCATACAGACTTCCTGGATGTCAGGTGCCATTTTGTCAGTGCTTTTCTGCTGCCATCTGTCACACAGCAACAACATGTAATATATACAGTACTCAGACAGATTCTTATTGGTGGCATTAAATCAATTTGATCAATGTGAAGATGGTGTGTTTTTCCTCATCTACTTAAAGGCTCATACAAAAAGATATCCAGTTGAAAATATTCACAAAAATTCTGCATAACTTGAGACAAGGGTCTCAACTTCCTTGACAATTTATCCTGTAGCTTACCTGTTTACAGAAAAAAAAAAAAAATACATTTTGTAAGTGCCATTTAAAAGCATAAGCTGTATAGAAGGCTCCTTGCCCTATGCAAACTGTTTTTCTTCCTTTAAGCAGAGTGTGCCTTCGTAGCACAGAGCATGATTTCAGAAGTGATAATTATTATCAGAAACAAAACCACTAGAATCTGGTGCAAAAGCAATGTACAAATCTGTACAAACAAACCAACGTTGGAAAGTAGCAGGCGTTTCCTAAATGGTAGCACAATTATTTCCCCTAAGAGAAAGAAAAACATGCAGAAACATCTCCGGATTTGATGCCTACAACACTTTAAACAGGTTTTGTTAAACTATGTTATGCAACTGAAGATAAAGGATGTTGTGTATTTCTAAAGATTAGCATATGGCAATTCTTATATTATTTTCAAAACAATATTGTGTGAATACATCAGCATCCTTTATGCTCAATGAATATCACCCACCTGTCATTTTATCTGCAAACTGCAAAATTGAACAGGTTTTCACTGACTGTATCAATTCTCCCAAGAGGATATAATAATCACAAAATCATGAATTGTCCATGCCATTACTATGTGGAATCCACATAAATGAATACTTTTTTTAAAAAAAGAAAAATAAGAATCGTTACAACAAATATGCTGACCTTCTCTGCTCAAAAGCAATTACAAACCGAAGTAAAACAAGAGGCCAGCAAAATCACGGTACTCTACAGTCTTAATTTGATTAAAAAAAAAAAAAAAAAAAAAAAAAAAAAAAAAAAAAAAGAGAGAGAGAGAAAGAGAGACAGAGAGAATCCACTGGAGTAGCATGAAATTCAAAAGCTTTTCGTTGGACTGGAACATGATGGCTGGCACAGGTTGGGAAAGATACTAAAATGTATCTCTTATTGTCCACAGAATCTTGTTCAACTCTTTCAAGAAACAAAGTGACAGCCAGGTAGATGAATAGGAAAGTGTATGTAAACACCCGGAACTAACAGATCCAGGCCAGCACAGCTGGGCTTGGATTAGGCACTGAGAGAAAGTTCAGACAACATTTATGCATACTTTTAGTATTCAAATTAATTGCCATTGCTAGTTTGAGGCAAGCACTCCAAAGTGCAGATACAGCGGACTGTATTCAAGTACAGTATGCATGAAAAGTTTATTTTAATATTTTAGTACAGTTTTTTACGTTAAGAAGAAATATAGATGATTCTGTTCTTAAAATGTATCTTGATGGTAGCAGGTTATCCAACAAGGTCCATTTCCACTCTGCATGAATATACAATACTCAAGACCATTCAAATCTTTAACTGTCATGTAGATTAGATCAGCTTCTGCCCACAAAACTTTTAGAATATGGTGCTACCTTAACCATCAATGTGGGAAAATGCCATATAAAATTTGTTAGATAAAGTGATTTATGGAGCTTAAAAGTAAGTTTTTGAGCATGTATGCTACATCACTGCTTAAAGGAGGTATTAAAAATAACCAAATAAGTTCTAAGTTTACTTACAAGAAAATAATGCATATCTTGCATCTCTGTCAAATGGCTAACATCTGAGATTGTCAGTTCTGCTTAAGGAACTCTGCAGTCAACATTTCCAACCCCGATCCCACCCTTTTACAGGGCATTTATGCTGTATGAAATCCATTGATATCAAATTGTTGAAGAAAATAGGTATTAGGAAAAAGAGTTTTAAAGAAATACAAAAGCAATCCTCAGTAGTCTGGCATGCTATGAGAAAACCAGTATTCATTATTTGTAGTTTTTCATCAATGCCAGAAAACAATCCTTGTACAGTATAGGCCAAAGTGTGCTAGAATGGCTCTAGTAATAGCTAGTCCTCACTCAAAGCAAGAGGGAGTAGGAAAGAAGGAGATTTGCCTCGGGTCATTGCTATGTTAATTTTGATAGAATAAATGTGCTCAGGGGGTCAATGATTTAACATGACCTCATCACTCCAGAATGGTAAGCAATCAAGCAAGGGACTTGACTACACATGCCTTAGCTTGCTATAGCAACAACAACCATTAACTGTTTCAGGATATTGCTTTCTGGATTTGAACTTCACATGAGTGCTGCTAAAGCAATGACTGCACTTAACCAAGTCTGGGCATTTATTCAAAGGAGAACAAAAAGTAGAAAAGAGAAGTAAAATGCTGCAGAGGATAAACAATCTACAGATCTTTGTTTTCTTCCTGCCATAAACTAAGTGGCTTTGTTTGAACAAATTTATTACTGTTATTATTACTATAATTATTATTATTGTTTTAAATTTGTGCTTTTTTAATAAGAAATTGTATGAGAAAAACCGAAGTTGAATGTTTTACTTTGGTTATACTGAGTAGGTTCTTGCACGAAGAAGACAAGTTGAAGACAGTGCTACAAATGAAAACCAACATTCCTGATCCCACCTCCATTAATCCTGTACTTATTAAATACATATTATGTAACTAAATTCTGTTTTCCTAAGACATTTCTCTGGGCCTTTCACACCGCTGTCCTGCCAAGCTACCTGTTCCTGCTTCTAGTATCCCTGGGTTGAGGCAAACTTTCCAGACTTGGGGATGTTGAAGACAGGAAGACAAATCTGTAACTGTAGTTGTATGTTCTCAATACTTCTGAAAGTCTCCCCGTTTTTAAGTAGTTTTCGATACTGATTTGGGGGCATACTCTGTCAATTTTCATTGTTTGGTAATTTGTGTACTGTCTAGTGCTTTCACTTTTCCTTAATGTGCAAGGTAAAGCTTTTTATCCAGGGAATAATCAATTGTGATTACTGGAGGAAGGGTTGGCAGATAGCAAACAGGGTGTTGACCTGACACCTGTTCATCCAGTGTGCACAGGCACTGCTTGCCACTTTCTGGGCCCATTGTCATATTGTTGTTAAATGTTAACAGCAGGGTGGTGAGACACTGGAACAGGTTGCCCAGATAAGTCGTGGATGCCCTATCCATGGAAGTGTTCAAGAACAGGTTGGATGTGACTTTGGTCAACTTGGTCATGTGGAAGATGTCCCTGCCTGTGGTAGGAGACTTAAGAATTCCTTCCAGTTCTGATCACTCTTTGATTCTATGATTCTATGATTAATTAAGTACTAAATAACTTCCCTTCAGGCTTTCAACTCTGTTATCCCACACTAGAGCACAGCTTCTGGGAGCATCACTATGAGAATGATGTGTCTTCTCCTCAATTTCTCAGACCAGCAACATCATATAGGCTTCATGGGTGCAGTAATGATGGAGACACACTAGGAGAACTCTTTGGTGGAGTCACACCTTATACGTACTAAATGAGCTCTTTTGCCTGTACAGGTCAAGTATTTCCCTAAATTGATAAGCTGTACTGGTAAAAGAAAAGTTTACTGGTTTGAGTTTCACATACTTAGACAAAGTTGCTGGAATAGATGTATCAGAGTGCCGTGGTTTAAAGA